TCAGGTGTTTGGCGTTGTTTCGCAGCCGCACTATCTCTTCGGCCGATATATTCAACTCTCTCTCCAATTGAAACAAATAGCGCTGATAGTCGGCGGCGGACGGCTCTCCGTCGGCCTCGTCGTCGGCGTCGTTGCCGCCATCCCTGTCCTCATCCACTAAATACACATACGTCGGGACCCGAAGAACTGTATCGTAATCGTAGGCCAACGACACAAGGTCCTGGCGCTGATGAACGTTGGGGTCGTATTCGTCCAATTGATCCACTATTCGGTGCACACCTCTCAGCACCGGCTCCTCGTACTGATAGTAGTAGTCTTCGTTCTGTAGGGTATAAGCGATGTCTTCGTCGCTGGAGTCCAACTCTTCGCTGACGTCACCGATGTTTGAGTAGTCGATTGGATTCATACAAGTCTTACACATATTGTTTTGTTCGCCGACGCAATTGAAACAGTAATAAGAGCCGCAATGGTTGGCACAGGCGAGCGACTGGTCGGAGCTGTCGGGCAGCACTTTGGAGCCGCAGACCACACAGTACTTGTGCTGACCGTAAAAGCCCAGAAGTGTGGCCACAATTCGCACGTATCGGTACTGAGCGCACAGGCGCTCGAAGAACGACACCTCCACCTCTCGCTTGTCGTGCAGCTGTCGGCGCAACTGTTTCCGCCAGAACTGGAAGATATTTCCCCTTCGGTTCAGTATATTATTGTAGAGCCAAACGGCGCGGATGGGTATGCGCTGGGGGTAGAAGAGTCCGGCCACGTAGTGCCGCGACCGCAGTCCGTACGACCCGGAGAACAGTGTGACCACAACCACAGCCAATATATAGGCGATCTTTTTGTACGTTCCCATGTTTGGCGGCTCCGGGTCTTCCTTACACTTCTCGAGTCGGCTCACAATCGCTTGTTTTACATCCAATCCTTGATTCATGTTTCTAATACTGTTGGAGAAGAAGTCGTCGCCTTTGATTTCGATGACAAAACCCGCGGGTTTCATGAAATCGATGATTATGTCGATTAACTTGTTTACGCCTTTAATCACCCAATAGATGCCCCAATCAATGGTCATATAAGAGCCCACTTGCGATAGAGTGAAGAGGAATAGTGAGCCTCCGATTACGAAGCGTCTCAACTCGACGTCAGTCATCGTCGGGTCAAATGTGCCGATAAATGTCTTCCTCTCGCGGAACTCGAGCGGAAATATGGTCTCCAATCCCTTTGATTCTCGCATTTTGTCGATTTTCACCAGTTCTTCATCCGTATAGAAGTTGTCGTAAGCGTCGGATTTGCGGAACAAATACCAGTAGAGGACTGAACTGTTGGCCACAAAACACATTTCAAACACTTATTATTGAATTCATTAGAAAAAACACATTTTGAATACTTAATGGTAATCCAAGACGAGACGAGAAATATGAAGAGAAACTTTACATTTAGGACATACTTCAAGTATGACCAGACATAGTGTTTTCGGGCGAAGTCGCGGCCAACGGTGTGGAGAGCGTCCGACACATTGACCGACGAAACGGAGTTGAAATCAAACTCAGGATTGAGCTCCACTTTGACCGTCAACTCTCTCATTGTCTGTCTATACTTTTCCATCATCTTGGCTTTGGTCTCGTTGTAGATCTCTATGGCCTTGCGTTTAGTGCCCTGACACAAGTCGGCCACACCCGCCACCAGTACACTACACACTCCCGGAGGATACACGCGGCCCAAACTTGTATCAAACAGCATAATGTTGTTTTCGCATTCAATGATGTCTTGGTCGCTTTTGTGTTTGCACGCGTTTTTCAGACCAATGTTTGGCAATTTGATCATTTTGGCCAACTTTCTGGTCATATTTTTGAATTCTTCACAAACTCTGTTGGCCATCGCTTGTGTGTTATCTACGAACTGTTGCACATCTTTAATGATAAGTTTGGTCACTTGTGCGCCCCCTTTGGTGGTCTGCCACGCCGTGCAGCCGACCTGTCTGACAGCGCGTCCGGCGTTTGACATCGTATTCGGCAAAACAGTGGTGAAGACGGCATACATTATATACGCGATCAAANGCCGACGACGAGGCCGACGGAGAGCCGTCCGCCGCCGACTATCAGCGCTATTTGTTTCAATTGGAGAGAGAGTTGAATATATCGGCCGAAGAGATAGTGCGGCTGCGAAACAACGCCAAACACCTGATGACAGAAGAGATGGACGAGAATGTGATGTTAAGGGGAAGAGAGGAGAAGTACTCAAACCTGAAACGCGACGACGACGAGAGACTCGTGAGGAATGCCATGCTTTTCGTCAATAGAGACCGAAAGAAACATAAAAACAAGACTAAAACTAAGACAACAAAACAGTTTAATCCGTAATTAATTTGATTAATTTATTTGTTATATTAATTTTTACAAATTTAGTTTAAAATATACTGTAAATCACATTATTTTGTTTTGTTCATCTCTTTTTAGTCTAAAATATTTACTAATTATTAAATTTTGTTTTGATTAATAAAATATTTCAGACAATTGTCTAAATAACTAGAAATTAATATTAAATAATAGTCTCAAAAACTTTTCCAATTGGTGTAAATGTTGCCACAATTTATTGATATTTTCATTTTAAATCTATAATTAGTATTTCACTAATAGATTATGCATTAATTCATATAAAATAATTCCGACACTACTTAATGGTAAAACTTTGTACACATTTTATAATATTTACTTTTAATTGTACTAATAATTAAAACTCTAATCACACAAAACAAACCAAATAAACAAAAAGGCTATTAATTATATAAATCATATTCCAATCAAATAAATCATTTAACTTAAAAATATATAAATTAATTAAAAAAATAAATAAATTTTCAATTAGAAAATGAGAAAAATATGTAAAATAAATGAATTCAATTCAATTGAGAGAAGACTAAACCAATAAATGATTTCGGATTCAAAGCTAAAGATGAGAGAAAAGTGATAAAAAACTACAACTTTATTACGAAAGAAAGTAAGAGAAACAGAGGAGAAGAGTGTATATAAAAGATGATCACATAATCAAACACTGGCCCGGGTTTTGGTCGCTATTCAAACCGGGAAAGTTCGGGAGTTTAAGGTCGGGCGGGAGACCAGAGGCGAAGTCGGGCACATCGCCGATGAGCTGAGTGGGCGGCGAACCGCAGTTTTGCATCGATTGCATCACCGATAGTATCCGTTGGAAGCGCTCCTTCTTCACCGCTTCCGTGTCTTCGGGCAGTTCGGCGTCGAACTCATTGCACACCTCTTTCATCAGTTCCATCTGTTTTGTGTATCGTTTCAGGTCTTCGGCCGACAGACTGTCTTTGTTCTCATTCAAGTAAACCGGATACTGATTGGCGAACAATTCAATTCATTAAAACAACCATCGCTTACAAGACATGACATTCACATTTCAATAGCTCTACCTTTTCAGCCAATTCTGAGAGCGCCGGGTATAGCAGCTCTTTGGACAATAGGTTTTGCATCATATTTGTCATCAATGGCATCAGATTCGCAAAACCACTGCCACCGTCCGCCTCCTCTTCGCCGCCAATCCCCAGATTGGACCAGATTTTTGCCAACTCTTCCTCCGAGAGGTTGTTGTCCTGACCGACCACTGTCTGCGCCTTTTCCGATATGGTCTTCAATGTCTCCTGTAATGAGTTCTGGAACTCCTCATCACTGGTGGCGTTAGCTATGGATTTAAGACACAGTCAGT